GGTGAACCTTCACCTCAGATACTTGGGGCATGTTTTCAAGAGAAGTCAGTCCTGGGGAAAAGACATCATGTATTTTCCAAAAAAATGTGGAAAGTCAGAGAAAAAGTGCAAGGTCCTTAACAAGATGAATTGACACAGTGACTGTAGTAACCGGCTCCAGCATATCAGAGATGGTGCGGTTGGAGCAGGCTAGAGCAAGGTTCAGATCTGTGTTTCTTAGCATTGTTGTGAGTCTTCAGTGACTAGACGGCACCTGACAAAACCATGTGAAAACATAGATGACCCATCCTAGCTCAGCCAAATCTCAGACAGTTTAGCTGCTAGCCAAAGATGTGTAAGTGAACCTTGCTAAGAATGGAATCCTGGTGACCTAGTGGGCAAGAAGTTGCTTTGCTAACAAAAGGCAAATGGTTCTAATGCACCAGGTTCCCTACAGGAAAAAGATTTGCAATCTTGTTCCTCGTGAATTACAACCTCTAAAAACTTGAGAGACGTCAATGATCAGTCAGTTTCAACTAGCCGGCACATAACGACAACAACTCACCTTAGTCCACATTGCCAGCCCGCAAAGTTGTAAGCCTTTGTTTTTTGCTTTGTTTTGCTGTTGTTTCAAAGCTTGGAGTTATTTTCTATGCATAAAAAGTTAATTTACACAATAGCCTTTGAATTCAAGATTCAAAGTCTGTTGTATAAGTTTAATACTTTAACACTACTAAAACAATTCCGTTTTTTTTCACAAGTCCATCTTAGTGATTTCAATACTTTTAGCAAATTCCATCTTCTCTAATTTTCCATTTTAATATATTTCAATATGTATTTTCTATTATTATTATTAACAATAATAATAATATTAAATAAATCTAGTTAAGAAATCTTTTTCTTACTTCAAGGTCATAAAAATATTTTTCTATTTTATTTTTATAACATTTATTGTTTTACTACTTGATTTAGATCTATAGTCTCCTATTTGTGCTTCTATCTATTTATCTTGGTTTGCATAAAGATTGTTAAGGTTGAAAATCATTTCCCTTCTCGCACTCACATCCTTGCAATGTTGCAATGTGATACTGCAAATCAATCCCTCAAGAGATGACATCTTCCTTCACCTCTTGACTCCAAATATATACCACAGGACCTCTGAAGTCAATAAAAAAAAGCATGATCAAGCAAACAGAGCCTTGAAACTTATTTGGACACTAGGGAGTGCTCTATTGTTTCACTTAGAAATCTAACACTATCATTACCTAAATTATCCTGCTGGATAATGAGAAATAATATAGAGGAGAACTGAGATACACCAGCCACCAGTCAACCACCTATTAGATACGGGAATGAGACCCCTGACTGATCATCTTGCCACCTGTTGATCTTCCAGTTGGCCACAGGCACAAGAAAGAATGCAATAGTTACCAGCTGAGCCAGGCTAATTCCAAGAAATCAGTCAGTCAACAAAGAGGACCATGAACTGAACAAAGTGACTATTGTTTCAGACCGGTAAACTTTGAGCCACTTGTTAGACTGTCATTCCCTTTGTTCTTCAGGTAATGAAAATTGATGTTGTTGCTGTTAAGTGCTGACTACAATGCACAGTGACCCTCTGAACAACAGATGGAATCCTTCCCCTATCCTGTGCCATCTCGAACCCACTGCTGGAGTCACTGTTTCAATCCATATCTTTAAGAGTCCTCATATCTTTTATTGACCTCAACTTTTCTAAGCATAGTATCTTTTTTCAAAGACTGGCATATCCCCCCCAAAAAAAAATCCCCGAAGTATTTAAGATGAAGTTTTCTCATCTTTACCTCTAGAGAGCACCTTGGTGGCACTTTCCACAAGACAGATTTGTTTATTCTTTCATCTGCTGCTGTTGTGAGGTGGTACTGAGTCTAAGAGGACCTTGCCCAATCTGGTACCATAGTCACAATCTCAGGTGTCCACATTGTTGCAGTCACCTTGTCAATCCTTCTATTCCAGGGTCTTCCTCTCGTCCTCTGACATGTCATCTCCCCAAGTGTGTTGTCCTTTTCTAAGGACTCTTCTCTCCTGACAGCGTGCTCGAAGTATGTGAGACAAGGCCTCACTGGCTGTATACTTCCTTTAAGACAGATTTGTTCCTTCTTTTAGCAGTGCATGGTATATTAAGTACTCTTTACCAAAACCACAGTGTAAAGGCACTTTTTTTTCAATCTTCCTTAGCCAACTCCCAAACCTATATAAAACCATTTAAAAGATCATGTTGTAAACCAGATGTAACTTTTACTTTAAAGTGATATCCTTTCTATTTAACATTTTAAAGGAGTCCTTGATACTTGAAATAAATCCAATGTAATCTTTCTTTTGATTTCTTGACTCGTGTTTCCATGGGTATTGACTTTGAATCCAAGTAAAATTAAATCCTTGACAACCTCCATTTTTTTTATAGTTAATCTATGGTACAATACCCTTGGCAGTCCACAGAGCAATATTTTTCACCAATACCACAATTCTTAGTAATTACTTAAAAATTGTTTTTCTAAAATTAATCATAAGCTCTATTAACCATGGGAATCTTTAATTTGCAGTATTGCTGTGGTGGTGGTTATGTGCTGTCACATCACCTGCGATTCAAAGCAATCCTATGCTCAACAGCCCTAAGCCCTGCTTTATCCTGTGTCAATCTTATTGTCTCTGGCACACCTACCCCAGTCACTGAATCAATCCATCTCATTCAGGGTCTTCCTCTCCTGTGCTGTTCCTCCACTCTCCCAAGCATGACGTCCCTCTCCAAGGACTGATCCTACCTTGCGACATGTCCAAAGCATGTCAGACAAAGCTTCAGAATCCTTGCCTCCAGGGAGAAGCCTGATCTCACTGTCTCTAAGGATGAACCTGTTTGTTCTCCTAGCAGTCTATAGTATATTCCATACTCTTCTCCAGCACCACAGCTCAAAGGCATCAGTTCTCCTTCTATCATCCCTAGTCATTGCCCAGCTTTCTGATGGCATAGCAAATAATTGCAAAGACTAAGGCCTGGATCAGGCACACCTTAACCTTCAGACTAATATGGTTGCTCTTCAGTACTTTGAAGAGGTATTTTCATACTATTTTCTCTATGTTTAACCTCTCTCTCCTAATTTCTGCTAGATCTTCACAACAATTACACCAAATATCATATCTACATACGATGTGAAACAAATACCTCTGTTCACACAAAAACCTCTATGCAAATATTTATACTACCTTTATACACAATTGCCCCAAACTGTAAACAAACCATATGTCTGTTCCTCATCTGAGGAAAGGATAAACAAGTCTGTGGTATATTCCTAAAATAGAACTGGAATCCTATAAATCATTAGAAAAAAACCTACTGATAATATCCAACAATATTCAATAAAGGAATTTCAAATGTATGAGGCAAAGTTAAAAAAAAGCCAAACTCCAAAAGCCTACAATTCTATTCTGTTTCAAAAGGCTGAAAAAAAAATAGCTTAATATAAAACAAGAGTATTTTGGGGGCTCAGGGATCATTCTTATCTTCTTTACAGTAATGGTTACATGACTGTATACTTTGTCAAACATCACAGGACTACACATTAAAAGGGATAAATGTTAGCTGAGTGAAATATCTCAGACACAAAAAGACAAATTCTGCATAGGGCCACTGTTGTAGAATGGGACTGACATCAGGTTTGAAGTAAGACTGAGAAAAACTGGATAAATTATGTATACTGCATTGAAACAGATGCAGGAGAGAACAGTTTAAAAGTGATATATGATTGGGTATTATGGTTACGACAAGAGTCCAGAAAAAAGGTTGCATAGTGGAGTGTACTCGGGACGGGGGGGAGGGAATTGTATACCAATGAAGGAATTTTTCTTTTACTTTTCAAAGAGAAGAGCAAACTGGGACAGAGGGATAGGCAGGGAGAAAAATGCAACAATGAATGAATGGAAATACAAAATCTCTGTAAATGTTCATTAAAATAAATTTTAAAAAGAAACAGAAATAAGTAAAATTGACAGCAATCTGAAAAAAAGGGTAAATGTTACTGCATTTAAGTCATATTTAATTTAAAAATGGGGAAAATAAATTTAAAGTCCTAAATTCCTAGATCTAGCAGATAAGCCTTTGGTTTTTACTACCATCAATATATTTGTACTGTAAGGAATCCCATTCTTTGTAAGCACAATAATGCATTTCAAACAGATTTTCACTTCTTTAATTCAACATTTACAGGCATTTGGAATAAATATGTTTATTGCCAGAAGTAAAAGTCTGTAATTCTTTTAAAGAACAAGATTATCTTGAATCCCCTGGTGTTTTTAACTTTTTTTAATTCACTTTATCACTATATCCTTATATTCCTATTACACATAGTGATACAGGTCCTACATTAAGCCTCTTCATAGATAAGAAAGCCAAAGCTCATGCAACTGGAGATTCCTTTCTATTTTATGTCTAGACAACCACCCAAAACTAGATTAACATATATCTGGGGATAGAAACCAATTTGAAGATCATCTCAGCTTTTCTATAATTAGATCAAAGAGAAACATTTTGACAATCACTTATTTACATTCTGCATAATTCATGCCTAGTAGTCAAGCAAACTGTATGACTTGGGGCAAATTGATGAACTCCCTGCGTAGCTTCCCTGCACCTTCTTCATAAAGCTGTTGTAGCAATTACATGAGGAATTCCTATACAGCACATGATCCAGTCAATTGTTCAACAAGCATTATTATATCATGTCAAGTCAGAACCGACTCTGAGCTTACCCTCCAGCAGGTTTTCAGAGGCAGTTAATCATAGGGAAAGAGATGCCCTTCCTTCTCCCACAGAGCAGCTAGTGGATTTGAACCACATGCCTTCGAGACTGCAGCACAGCTTCTTACTACTTGGCTACTAGTTGTTATTTTAATGATAAACCCTTTCCAGCAATTATATACATATCTCTAATAGCATTAAGATTTAAGCATCAACTAGATATACAAACCAAGAAAGTTTGAGTACTTACTTTGAATAAGCCATGCTTTTGGTTGCGTTGACCAAGCCATAAATTGCTTCCTGGGGGTAGGTTGGTATCAGGAGGGTCTATTACATGCTCATAAATCCTGTAAATGTAAAGAACACAGTTACTGAGTTCAAAACAGAACCAAAGGATGCTCAAGCTCTTGGCATTATCTTCTAGCTTGTAGCAGTGAAGCCAGCATGTGGCAAATTTTAAAATACCAGGCAGCATGCACGTAGAGATCTGTTTGGGAACAGATTCAACAGTGTCCTCCAAAATTCACATCCACCTGGGGACTCAGGACATAGTTTTATTTGTAAGCAGAGTGTTTGTAGATGTAATTAGTTACAATTAGGTCATACTAGATTACAGTCTGCCTTAAACCTAACGACAAGTGTCTTTGTAAGAAGAGACACTAAATAAGAAGTGTCTATGTAAGGGAGAGATACACATAGAAAAAAGTCTATTTGATTACAAAGGTAAAGAACAACTATGTGATACAACCACAGCCAAGAAACACCAGGAAGTATAAGGAACCACAAGAAGTTGTGTTTGATTGGGGTGGGGGTAAGACTGAGAAAAACTGGATGAAATATGTTTACGGCATTGAAGTCTATGGGGGAGAGAATAGTCTAAAAGTATTATATT